ATTCCCACTAAGCCCTCATCCCTTCAATAAACTTGCCAATGCTATTGCAACTTGTGCACTGAAGCAGGTGCTGCAGGTATTGTTAAATGGGAAGCTGCCAGTCATTTTACATGGGCACATTGGGCAGATTGCTGCCAGATGAAATCTAGAACAGTTAAGTCTGCCTGCCTTGTGCTCAACAGAAGCACCAGCTGAGTATATATTTTCTACTGTGATACTACAAAACTAAAAGGAACTTGGTTACACTTCTATCCTTCTGAAAATGTGGTAGAAATTGAGAAGTGAGCCTCAAACTTATTGCAGTGGGACACACAGTGCAACTCCAGAATGTCATATCTTCAAGAAAACAACTTAAAGTTCACACTTTACCATGAAAGAGTTGTACCACCAAACAAAAACACATCATGAGAGATTTTCTCTCAGCTGTCAACCTCAGCAGACGGATTAAGGGAACTTTGCCACTTGCTACTGTCTAGTGGTCTGCCACAAAGTTAAGATGGTCTGAATAAACTTTCTTTCCTGGTCCAGGTTTTCACTTAACAGTTGCTGACATCCAGCTCCTTGCACATGACTCTACTTTTTCTGAGGTTTCTGCCCAAGTTTCCTCTCTGTTTTTACTGCTGTAAACTCCCTTCTTATTCCACTCCAAAAAGTAATACTCCAACATATTAAGTATACATACAAAAGAAACACAATGTCCTAGTTCCTGTTTATTTTTCTAATTTCTGTCCACAAACTCAAAGCAGAACAGGTGAGTTTTTTTCCCAGTGTACTGTTGGCTTGTTTCAACTCATCTCAAAGATCTGTCTTCTCTTCCACCTGTGATTTACATTAAAGTGACACTGGCCTATTCTTCATCATTTTAATCAATCAACTTAAAACTGCTATGACAGCTTTCTCTCTCTAGGGCCCTAACAACTCAACACATTGGGTGGGACTCCTGTCACCTACCTTTAGACATCTACAGTGCAAACACACTTAGGCTGATCAGATGAGTCTGCTGTAAGCATTGGAAAAAAAATAAGCACATTCAGATCACAATCCACTTTGGCTGAAGCAGGAATTGTATCCCCAAAATCTTAACTCAGAGGAAAAAGTCTACATGACAGATGTCTACATAGACCAGCTAAATAAAAACATCCTTGCCCATTCCACCTCTCACCCTCTGGCTGTTTAAAAATCAACTTACACTGTTCTCTATTATAAATTGACAGCACTTTGAGATGTGCCTTGTGGAAAGGATGTTGATTAAATCTTTCTCAGGGTTCAGACTCTGAAGTTTTTTCCTAGGAGAAAAATTGGTGGATGTGTCATACTGGTAAATATAATTCCATAAAAATATCTATGCAGAAGAACAATTACTATGCGTGTATGAAAATTAACAGCCTACTGATGCCTTTACTGACTTGTGCATAACTTCCCTTGCAAGGTTAATGTCCATGAATATGTAACATGCACCTTCTTCTCCCTACTGCTTCCCTATTGTTTTTCCCTTTTCATTATTACAGCATTTCTCCATACAGCCTGTAAGACCTTCGGTAAAGAGTTATGTTTGCATCTGAGCATTAAAGCTTATTACGAAGGCACAATAACTCCTGTAGTCTAGTTAAATATAATTGCAAGGGGAAGGGAAGACAGAAGCAGAGGGCAGTTCATAATTCACAGACCTCTCACATGATTTCAACCTTCTCCTTGCAGAACTTTGTGGGTGGGAGGAGGTTACAAATGAAGCTCTCTGCTACTTTGTGCTAAAAGCCTGTGCCAGCCCTCTAGTCAGTGGAATTTAGGTAATGATAACCAAATCAATTCAGAAACCAGTTTTGTTAATCTGTCAGAGACCCTAAGAGTGCAGAGCTTTAAACTTCTCTGACAGTGTCTGCAATTACTCTAGCAGAAGAGACACTTCTGAACCAAATCTAATGTTCATGGCAAAAGAGTTACATTAATTTCTATCAGCTTCTGATTGAACTGACTAGAATAAATCAGAGTGAGCGGGCACACAATCAGCTCTACTGGCAGATTTGCAGATTGCTGGAAAGGGCCATGATAAGTCTCTGGGGTCTGGCTGTGAGTAATGCTATCCTCCACCAACACATCTGGATCCTGCCGAACCACACTCGCTGACACCCACCATCATCATGTCTTATCCAGAACTGCTAGGTTTATAGCCTCTATCAAAAAATAAAGAAGTTGTAAACCATGAGAATATGCTCAGAGTAGAACAAGCTTCAGTGGCTTAAGGTGTCACCTCCCCTCCCAGCAATTTCCTACCTCTTTGCCTGAAATTCATGCCTCACAGCAGAGTTGGTGGAATGAGACACACACTAGTTCCAGCTGTTTCAACACAAGGTCCAGAAAATTAGCTTAAACTGCTCATAAGATTACTTTAACATCATATTTTGCATTAAAATGGCTTAGAAAAATTAGTGTTTTTCAATCCAGGGACTGCTGTAGAGGCAGGAACCTTCAGTAAGGAGGTCAGGGAAGCAATATTTTTTGCAGCAGTCCAGCGAGATTTGCTCAAATTTGACCTAGCATTAGGAAAGACTAAGAAATTGCACACTTAAAGTTATCATTTTTATGGCTTACTAACAGGCTTATGAACTTCTGATTGCCTGGCTGGACTAGGTGGCCTTCTGAGGTCCCCTCCAACATGAATTACCCTGTATATCTAGGGTGCGTGGCCAGGAACCTGAAGACACAGTTCTTCCTGCTGACACAGTCACAGCACATCTTGGCAAACTGTGGAGACCCATGCTTACCAAATTTCCCCTCAGAGTGGTCAAAATAGGTTGACACTGGTATTGTTCTGGTGCTGAACAACTGCTTTTCAGAAGGGAAATCAGCTGTAGCATGGGGACCCTCTGCCACTAGGAAGCAGCCCCACTCGACTCAATTGTTACTAGAAAAAGGGATGGGGGGAAAAAAACAACCAGAAAAATAGAGATTATGCCCAAATAACCAACCTTCTCTGGGTCACAATTTCCTGGCTGGGGGATACAATCCTCAGACAAAGCACTTAATTGCTGCCTAATGTGGTAAGAGGTACATAGTCTTGTGGGAAGGGATATTATGGAAGTGCTGGGACAGAGCTGCTTATCATCTGCTCTCCCCTAGAAAGGCTGAACTCTGTAAGGTCTGCACAGCATCTATGTTTCTGCATATGTGAAAAAACAGCAGGAATTGATGTCATGGACAGGCAAGTTCGAAGAAATCTGGAAAAGGGGGAAGCCAGAGTTGCAGCTGTTATGAATTCATCACGATTTTGGCCCCGGTTCCAAAATTCTCACAAAGACATAAGAATCTCCACATGATTTTGAGGCAAGCAAGATCTGCAGATCTATGAGAGACACATTCATGCATGCTGTATTGTTTAAGAGGCATACTGAGCTTTTAGTTTCAATCCCTGCTCTTTCACCTGCGTCAGTTAGCATTTCTGAGAACCTTACTGTGAGATACAACCTCATGCCGCTGCCTTAAAGTAACAACAGAAATTTTCCAGAGAAATCATATACTATTATCAGGTACGATCACAAGATCATCGTCACTGGGATGCTCTCAGAGCTGTCACAAGGCAGTTTCAGCAGTAAGGGCTCACTGCAGTGGTGCAGCTGCACACAGAAACACAACTCGGATTCACTGGGATTGCAATGGGCTACTCCTGCCTCCACATCTCCTCTGCCTTCCTTGTGCCTGCAGCACCTCTAAGAATCAGCTAATTCGGGAGCTTTCAGTTCCAGCAGAACTCAGTTAATTTTTTGGAGGAGCAAAACTGGCTGTCCACCAGATCAGATCCCAGGCTTGCCTTGCCAGATGGCATCATCAGTGTTACTGCGGTGTAAATAACAAACAGAAAGGCATATCCATGATCAGAGAGGAATGCAGGACTGCCCCTTTCGGTGGCAATACAGACACAGGCTGTCTTGCATTAACTGTGAAATTACATCCCTAGAAAGGTTTGTAACTGCATGGCTCCCCTCGCAGGACACCAGACTGCTAGTATTGACTGTGAGCCGCACGCTTCAGAACACTAGGTAACATTCACCCTCAGGAGATAACACAAACTGGGTGGTGCCACCCTGTGAGACTGCCTCTGATCACCAAATACCACTTTGGTCCAGGAACAGGGCAAATCCCTAAATCTGTTCCTTTACGGTACTATAAAAGTGTATTACACTGCAATAGAAAAGATAATCCAGTGTCCTTCTGCATGCCCACGCAGGACAACCGTATGCTCTGCATTTCCTAGACACACCCACAGACGAGCTGGAGGCACATGAGGTTTGCATTCAGACTGTGAACGAGCTCTGATGTGTATTCAGAGCTCTTCCCGCTGGTTCCAGCCGCAAGGACACGACGCAAGGGCAGAAACTGATGCACAGGAAGTTCCAGCTGAACATGAGGAAGGACTTCTTTAGTGTGCAATGACTGCGCAATGGAACAGATTGCCCAGAGAGGTTGTGAAGCCCCCCTCACTGGAGCTATTCAAGAAGGGTCTGGACGCAATCCTGCGCCATGTGCTGTGGCATGGCCCCGCTTGAGCAGGGAGTTTGGACCAGATGACCCTTCCAGCCTGAGGCATCCTGTGACTGTGATTTCAGCCTCCCGCCCGAGCCCTGGCGCAGCAGAGCGCGGCGGGCGCTCAGCAGCCAGCCCGGGCGCTCGGCTCCGGCACTCCCTCCCTCCCTCCTGCCCGCCGGGCCCGCGCCGCTCCAGCTCCCGCAGCCAGCGGGGCGCTCTCCGCCCGCCTCCTCCGGGGATGCTCAGCGCGGAGCCCCGCCGAGGGCTGCTAAACGCGGGCTGGGCGGCGGCATCCGCAGCCATCGCCGGCGGTGCCGCGGGGTTTTCCTTTAGGAAAATATCCCTTTCCCCCGCCGCCAGGACACGGCGGAGGCGCTCCGGAGGCCGGAGCGGCGGGGCCGTCCCCTCCCCGCGCCCGCCGCCGCCGCCATGGCAACCGCCCGTCGCCGCGCGCGCGCACCCCCTTCCCCGCCCGCCCCCCCGGCCCCGCTCTGACAGAGCCGCAGCGCTGCGCCCCCTCCCCGCGCCGCTCCCGCCCGCGGACACGCACCCCCGGCTCTCCCAGGTAACGGCAGGGCCCGGGAACGGGGCAGCACCTCACGGCGCTGCTGCCCGCGGCGGGCGGCGGCTCGGACCCCGCCACGCCGAGAGAGGCGGCGGGGATGGGGGGAAACCAGCGGTAGAGGCTGGAGGAGGGCGGGGGCGCTCCCCCATCTCCCGCGGAGCGTGCCGGGAAGTGTAGTCCGCGCCCCCCGCCGGGCCTTGGGGGCTGCCGGGAGAAGCGGCGGGAGGGAACTACAGCCCCCAGCGCTCCCGGCGGAGGGGGAGAGATGGGTGCTGCGGAGGGGACCCCTGTGGGGACGGGAGGCTCCCTCTGAACGAGGGCACTGAGGCGGCTCTCCCCGCGGAACAGCGAGGGACAGAAGCCCCTGTGGCGCTGCCGGGACGGGAGGGGCGCTGCGGCAGGGCCGGCTGGGAGGGTGGGCGCAGGGGCGGTGCGGCTGCGAGGGGAGGCGCGGGGCAGGGCAGGGCGGCGGATGGGGGGTGGGTGCGGGAGAAACACGGGTGGGTGCCTGCGGTGAGGGGAGGATGGGTTGGGGGGCGTCTGGATGCCAGGGCGGGAGAGAAAGAATACAAGGAAAGGGGCACATGGGAACATAGATGGATGGATGGATGGATGGATGGATGGAGATGTGCTGGAGGAGGAATGCTGGAGCAGATGGACGGAGAGAGCTGTGCAGAAGGCAGGGCAGACTGGAGTGTGGGGATGGGTACGAAGGAGGCAATGGTCAGAGGGAGCTCTGGAAAGTTTCCCCAACCAGTTTGCATTTATGGTTTCCACTTTCACATCTCCTACAACGCTTAGGCTCTGTTGAGCTTGTTTCACTACGTGGTCTGGACACAGTGTAAACTTTTAAAAATTATTCTGCTACATTTCTGCTTTTCCCAAAAATTTCTGCCATGATGTCAGCATTTGTCCCTTTTCTCTTTCCATTTCCTCTCCTGACAGTTCTCGTGTTATTTTTTACCTTGTGTTCTCTAACAGTCATGGAGGGGAATAAAATTACAGTTTCTCTATATATCATACTTAAAATACACATGTTTATGACTAGTATATAAGGGGGTGTCATTTTTTCTTCCTGAAAATCTCTATCTTAAAAGCATCAGTGCATTAGTACTCCCTTGTATATGAATATTGAATGTCTATTCCTACTACAGTTTCACATTTCACAGTGATGGGTTTCTTTCCAACGAACGCTTGATTGCAGTTGCAGATTGTTGAGCAGTTTCTTTTTTCTTCCTTTTTCCCCCATCCCTGTGTCAGCTATATCCTAGACAGGCTTCAGCTTCTTGCAACTCCTGGTACCTGCCACACTGCAGAAGTGAACATTGCAGCTGCAGCGTGCTTCCAGGGTGCTTGGCTCTTGGAGATTTGGGCTTTTGAGCAGGTAATGGGGAGAAATAGATCTCGCCCTGACCCAATTCAAATCAAAAGCCTGAGAAATAAATGGAATACAAGAAAAAAAAAGATAGGCCTTTATCAGGCTTTCTGTGTAATTAATTAAAAACCAACTGATTTTTCTGGGGATGAACTGAGAAATCTGAAGACTGATGTCTGTAGCACTAACAGCAGTATGCCTATAAATGTATATATTTTTTAAAATGTATGCTATTCTATTTGAATAATACATATCCTTAGTCTTAAAGAACCAATTATTTGAAATTCACAGTGGGGTTCAAGAGGTGTAAAAATATTCAGCCCAAAATTCTGACCTTATGGGTCAGGGTTATAAACACCTGTGTGAGTGTATTAAACCTGCAATTATTCATGGAAAGCTTATCTGGGATGCAGCTTGGCTGAGCTGGGAATGGAGCAGCAGCAGCACCCAGTCTCTGTGGCGCTGACTGTGGTCTGGTAGGGCTCACGGGCTGCAGCATGGGGGGAACACGGGCGTGCTGTATCCAGGCCAGGTGCAGGAGCAGTTTCACTGCCTTTCTTCTGGGCACAGAGCCCAACCTAAGAAACGCTCTGAATGCGAGCTGGCTCTGTGCAGGCCCATCTTGGGAGCCTTTGGTGGCATGTTTGCTCTACCAGAAGTGCTTACGCACGTGATACGCAGAGAAGCAAGTGGCTCCACAAAGGACCAGAAGGATTATTGACTCGGGGTGGTTCCACTTCGTTGCGCTCCAGACAGGCCCTAAAGAATCCTTCAGGTATCTGGGCCCTGCTCCTGCAGAGGAGGGCTTGACTGATCCACCTCAGGGCTGGTCCCAGCTGAACATGGGCCTGGGTTTGATTTGATACTAATGTCAGAAGCCCTGGAGGCTGTGCTGGAGAGGAGAGAGAGGTGTGGAGCCAGCCGGGGTCCAGCAGGGCTAAGGTGGAGCAGAAGCTGGCAAGCCTGTTACTGCCTGACCTGTGTGTGTATGGAGTTATGCTCCCCAGAGTACCCCACTGCATTTGTTTTAGCTCTTTTCCTTACCCGGCCTTGCAAATGAACACCTCATTACCCCAAGTAATGGTGGTGTGGCCATATGGATGTGTCTGAAACTGGTGTATGAGGTGCTTGGAGAAGGATACAGTTCACACTCAGTTTTAGGAATAGCACAGCCGTCTCTGATTCTCCTTTCTCCTTCTTCAGAAAACTGTACTTCAAAGGCTCTGTAAATGGCTATTTCATGCTCCAGGATGCTTTCTGTTTGGCTCACCAAACTAATGAAATCTCTAATTTAAATCTCTAAGTTAATCTTTAATTAAAAGACTGACCACCTATTCAGTGTTTTGTTATGTCTTTACTTTTGTCTTACTGTGTTTACTTTTGTGGTGAATGTCTTTACTTCATTTCAAGATTTTTTTTTCACTTGCACTCAAAGTAACTCTGTTTCAAGTTAAGAATGCACACAAAAATAGTTTGAGGCCTGCACACATGCTTCTTCTCCTTCCCACTTCCCATACACATTTCCCCATTAACTCCATGTCTGCTATTGTAAAACAGAGTTTCAGTGCAAAGAGGCCAAAAACCAATTAGCAGAAAGCAGTTGACTGAATTAAAAGATCCCTTGGTGCTGGGTTTCCTGGACTGTGGTATATGTGTGTGTGTTTTATCTGGTGTCTGTACTGCTTTAAAAAATGACATAACCTGCTGCAACCCCAACGCTGCTGCTTCTGCCATTGTAGCCAGCCTTGTCACTGCTAATGCACACAGCAAAAGGAAAAAACAGCACTGGCATAACACATTTCCCATCTTTGATTCATTTACATGTTTAAATTCAAATCTGCTGGAACTGAGCCATGTCCTTACTTACAGATATGTTTTTAACAGGAGCTGTGATCCTGTGAAGTCATGATCTTAGTTTTCACGCCAGTCCATGGGACCACAGCTGCATATTCAAACAAAGCCATGTTAACAGGGAAAGATGGATTTAGCTATGAAACTTGGCAAGACTTTTGTTTGTTTGTTTTTTATCTGACAATGATCAGTCAAAATGTTGTTTTTGTCATGCAAACGTAATGTCTGCAGCATCAGCAATTGCTTCTGAACAGGGACAGATAATTATTGGAAGTGAGGATCAGTTGTTCTACACCCAACACCAAAACAAAAGGGATAATCTTTATAATAAAGCAGGAAAGACTTATTTAATTTCTTTTAATTATTGCATTTTTTAATATCTTATTCTTAAAAATCAAATAAAATGTATCAAACACATAAAAAACCACAGTCTATTTCTGTCAAAAATAGAATGCTGTAGGCTTTTAGTAGGAGTCATGTGCCATGCAGGGAAAAACACTTTTGTTCCTCTGACAATCTTCCAGTTAGTGTTGCTGTTTATACTTTCTCAGGTAAAGAATTGTCATATTGTTACATGTCTCTATTTTAGCAATTTTTAAGTTTGAAGAGAAGATTGCAAATCAGATCATTGTGCTATTTTAAGTGAAGACATAATTGAGGGAGAGAGAGTTGTTTGAAACTGGTCAAAGTTGGCTTACAAAAACAGTATGATCTTAACCTAAGAATGGGAGGTTTCAATTAACTGTAATGAAAAGCTTCCAAGCAGTAAGAGGAATTTGAAGATAAACAACTTCAGTTTATGACTTAGACTCTGGTTTAAGAAATGGTTGCGCATGAAAAGTGTATGAATCCAGAAAACAAAACCTCTTAACAGTGGACTTCTCTTCCTGCTTTGCTCTGTGTGGCAATTGACCTGTTCTGGGATTGTGCGGTGGCAGAGAGTCATCCTGGCTCTGCCTTGAAGAGGCAAGTGGAAAATTAAGTGAAAAATGTACAGTCATATCTCAGTCATAAGCAATGAATTCAGAAGATGGTGCCTAACAGTGTGACTCTCTGTCTTGTGACATTTGTTGTAACTCTTACATTGCATTTCAGGATGTCCAACATCATGCATGGCTGGTTTAGAGAAAATGAGAAACAGGATTAGTAGCCAGTCTTCATCAGTGTATGTCCAGGCCTTTCCAGATGTTCAGCTGTCCAGTCAGCAGTATTGCAGGGCTGCCATGATGTAAGAGCATATGTCCAGCAATCTCAGGAAGCTGTGGAATGTTTTTGTTTTGCCTGGATAAAATTTGGATCAGAGAAAGACACATGTCCAGGAAAATCCATGTATTAGATAGCCCTCTCAGTGAATAATTAACATCTGATTTGGAGAAAAGTCTGGTTAGTAGGTATTAAATAAGGCTTGATGTGACTATTGAAACAATGAGAATAAAGCAAAAGTGTCTGACAGCTCATTTAATGAGTTCGCCATCTTGTGCAAGAGTCAAGGGCTTGTGGGGAAAATGGGATGCAGTGGTGTCGCCGGTTGTGTCAAAACACATGCAGAACAGAGACATATAAAGATAGCAGATGCCTTCCATTTTGGCACTTGCAGAGTGAATATTTGGGATCAAGCAAGAGGAAAAGCCCTGCTGCAGACCCTCTCTATGGGGAGAGTGTTTGCTGCCTGTGGTAACACTGTAGTGACATAGCGCTGAGAGAGATGGTTTGAAGAGGGCTAGTCCTGCTGAATCCATTCCCATTGGTGTTGCTCACAAGCTTGGAATAGTGTGCTAAGCTGTCCCCCTTTGCCTGTCCTTCACACAGTCACTGTATCTGCCCATGGATATGTTTTGTGTGTATAATGCTTTGATGTTAGAGACTATCTTTTGGATGTTACTCAATTGTGCATTGCTTTAGTTCTGGGAGAAAAATTCTTTTCTGACCCCAGATAGGGATCAGCTCAGCTTATGCTCCAAAGAATAGAGATTAATATCCCCTGTGACCTTTTAGCCTAGCTGCTGCAGTGTTTTTAACAAGTGGGTTTAAGACCCCATGTGTGGTAGCTATGCTGACACGAATGTCTGTAATGTCTCTTCTTGTCAATGATCCGTGAACTAAGGAATCTCCAAGGATATCCTGAGGTGCAGTGGAGCTGTTATGATCTAGTGCAGGAGAGAGCCATACAATGATAGAATGAAAAGCTGGTGTCACAAGTAGTGTGTAAGTTGTTCTAAATGTACTTGACAACAGTTGTCCATGGCTGTATATTTACTTAAAAGATGTGGCTGCAGTATGGTAGGAAAATTAAATATCTAAACAAAGCTCCAGATAACAAACAACAAAATGCTTTATTTATGATTTCTGTATTTCTGATTCCTTGGATATCTCTGATGTTGTATGAACACTAATACAATTTAGAACAGATAATAAAGAGTGAGTACATAACATGAAAAGGTCCTCGCCTAGTTGTAGTTACTTCTCACTCTCTCCCCATCCCTTTTGTTGAAGCATGGGATGATCAGAAAACAACACAGGAAATAATTCCTTCCAAAAATAATTTTTCCTTTATTTTGGATTTATTTGTTTTGATTTTCTTTGGATATTCTGAAGTAACATTACCTTCACTGGTGTGCATAGGAGACTTGTAGTTTGTTTAAACCATTTTTAGCATTAGTTTTAAATAGCAGTAGAATCTCAGAGAACTGCCTGGGATTCCAGGAAAGCACTGGAAGCTGTTTCAAATAAAGCTCCATAAATGAGTGACATTATATTCACCTTTTCAAGCTATATGACACCTTTGGTGTCTAGGGTATGTGATAAGTAAAAACTGAAGTGCCTGAATCCACAATAAAGATCCAGGAGCTTTTGTCAGCCTAGCTCTGGAGGTATTGACTGCTCAGTAGGTACATAGGTGTGTATCCACCAGCCTCCCTCCATGCTCCAAGTTTCAGTGCCTGTCAGTGTTTTATTAGCTCTTCAGTGTGACACACCTGGCATCAAGCTCATGTGTGAGCTTTGGCATCACATGCATGAGGCTAGAGGCCCCCAAACTCTTGGTAGCTGGAGGAAATGGGAGTTTTGTTTGGATGGCTCCTGCAATTTTGAAACCATGTAAATTTTTCTGCATCCTGCCTATCAGCTTCCTTGTCTAACCACTGTGCTGAAGAGGGCACATGTTTGCATGGTTCCTATGGCTTGCCTCTGCCTGTGGATTGACCCAGCTTCCACCACAGACAGAAATGAGGGGGTTGTCACCTCTGGTGAGCAGGGAACTCTTCTGGAATTAAGGGGAGTTGGTTGTGAGTATCAGTCCTCTTAAGGCAAAAGGGAGTTCAATATGACCAGAGGGTGGGAAGTAGCTGTAAAAAGGAGCAATGAGAGATTGTAAAGGAAGTATGTTTTCTGCTTAATAGATTTCTAGGACTTGAATTCAGCACTTCCTTAAAAATGTTTTATTTACTCGCTGTCTTTCACTACGTATGCAGAAAACCTCCAGAGATTTGAGGAATGTTGGTGACAGGCTGGTTGTGAAGCGCATCCTAACCTGGATGTGTTTGAAGACAGATCAATGTCTTCTGCCCCACATAGTGTTCTGTTCATTTATAAGCTGGCTCATGAGATCTGAATGGATTATAAACTATCTTCAGTTCCTACAATTTTATGCATTTCCTGTGCAATGTGGGTGACATAACTTTTTTCCCCTATTAGTTACAATTTTCTATATTTAAAAATTAAATCATCTTAGTTGCTGCTAATCCAGATCTTGGTAATGATGTATCCTCCCTATGTCAGGAAACAAAATTAGGGCTGTTGCCCTTTCCACCTTAGGTTTTCTCCTGCCCGTTGTTTACAACAGCCTGTGGGAATGCTGTGCAAGCTGAAATGTGCAGCACAGCATGAGGACAAGTAAAGCCTCAGTAAGTCCTGCTGTGCTTGGTGGAGTGTCAGTTGCGGGGGTAGCAGCATGTTCTTGCTATCAGAGTCATCAGCCACATGCAAGCTATGTGACCTGTGGGTTTAAGTGAAGGTGGCAAGTTTCCATGGCTTTCTTGCAGGGAGCAGGAGTGATGAGGTGGTGGAGCAGACCTGGTGTGCAGCTGTAGGCAGCAGTTAGGACCATCAGTGTGGCAACTTTGGGAGATGCAGCGTGTGTTTGCTCATGGCAGAATGAATTTTGTGTGGATGTCTGTTTAACTTGTCAGGGGTTTGAATTTTGCTAAGCACAAGGGAATACAAAAGCATAAGACATATCCTCCTTAATGCCATCTTGCTCTTGTCTTGTCTGTTTATAAAACCTAACATTTTTATAACCCACTAGGATGTAAAAGGTTACTTCTCCCTGTTCTGGCTTCTATCTGCTATCACCTTCTGTGTGCACTCCAGTAACACAGGCTGTTTTCAGCTGTGGAGCCTGAACTGTGGCTATAATCCAAGATCTGGATTAGCAACAACTAAGATAATTTAAATTTTAAATATAGAAAATTGTAACTAATAGGGGAAAAAAGTTGTCACCCACATTGCACAGGAAATGCATAAAATTGTAGGAACTGAAGATAGTTTATAACCCATTCAGATCTCATGAGCCAGTTCATATATATCCCTCCTTCCCAGTTTCTTCTTCACCTCCTTGGTCTTGCCAAACCCTAGATACAACTAGTGGACCACTCTCCAGAGCTGACCTCCTCCCTCTTGCACAATGCAACTCTGCATTGCACAGCTATGAATTGCAATTTTTTATTTTTCATATCCAGAGATTTATATCTGAGTGAATGTCAGGGATCCCACACATACTGAGTCAGAGTACAAGGAAAAGGAACTGATGCTCTTTATCTGTGGTGAGAACCTAAACTTTGGGTCACATGAGATTCAGATAAAAGGGCAGGCTCTGCTTCTATCCTGAACCTTAATTACAAACCTAGCTGTACAATACAGCTTAATTCTGAATGTCTGGATCATTGCTTTATTGAATGGTTACTGGGAAAAGCTGGGCTATGGATTTGCCTTAAAGTCATGCTGCAATTTTTGGGGACTAGGGGAAGGTTGTACTTTGGGAATCACTGTTCTAAGGAATGTTAAATTTGGATTGCTAACTTGGCCATAAATCCCAAAGTGACATGTTAAATTTAATGAAAAAATTCAAGTCAGCATGTGGATGGTGGAGTACTTTGAAAAAATATTTAAACAGAATGAAGCTCTCAACTTTTTCTATAGTAGAGCAGTCATTCAACCATATCATAATCTCATTACGGTGAGGGCTCTTGAAAGTGTGAAGTGCAGACATCCCTGATGCTGGCTGGCACATTTAGGCACGTATGTAATACAACAGAATAAAAAGCAATTTAATGCCTCATGTGATTTGTGATTCACAGCTGATGGCTGCTAATACATTGTGGTGATCTACAAATTAACGTTGAGTTTATTAGTTTCAGTGTGGGAAGGGCATTACATTTTGTTGCATTAATTTAACAGGACTGGGGCCAAAGGCAGCAAAGAAGTTGTGTTTTTAATCAGTATAAAAGAGTTCCGATTCATGATCTGAAACCTTAGGCTATTAAAGAGATACTCCAGACATAAATGGTTGTAGAAGAGAAGGACTGGATGGGAGTGGTGTTGGAAAGACACAATTCAGCTATGAGAAAAATAACAAAACTAAAGCATTACTGTCTGAATTATTCTACAGCATGTAAAATTCATTTTTTCCGGTAATTATATTCTCTTTTAGATTTCTGAGTGAAGATGAATTTAGCAGAGATTTGTGATAATGCCAAAAAAGGAAGAGAATATGCACTCCTTGGGAACTATGACTCTTCTATGGTATATTACCAGGGTGTCATCCAGCAAATCCAGCGACATTGCCAGTCGATTAGAGATCCAGCAATTAAGGGGAAATGGCAACAGGTAGGGTGAAATAACATTCCCATAGTCTATTACTTGATATTTGAAAATCACACTATGCATCCCAACTTTATAAGATGCAGAGGACTTATATTTCAGTGATGTTGGCAACAGTTGTTGTACAATATTTTGTTGATATTCATGGGAAAATATTTTTCATGGTGTGTTCAAAAGGAATTCTATTGTTCTAACCAAGTAGATTATTTAATTGTTTTCACTTAGGATGTCTGTCTAATTCCTGGTCTGTTTCTGTCTGCATTCTCTCTGTGACTGAATACTTTTGAAAAAATTAAGGACTTTCTTTTCCTCTTGTATCTTTTGGCCATCTAATATCCAGTAAACTAAAATGTGAGTGAGTGGGTTAGCATCACTAGATTTGTTGTCTGAGTAGCAGCTAACTAAATGACTGTAGTATACAAATTTGAATCAGGCTTCTAAAACTGCAAGTCATACTCTTAGCCTGAATCTTGCACACATCCATCTCCCTGCTAGACAGAGTACTGCTGAACCCATGGAAGTAATCTGCAGGTGAAATATAAGAACCCCATTTATTTATTACTTTCAGTATTTAAGTCTTCCTCACTTTTTTTTGACCCATTTTTCATGATACAAACTGTGTTCTATAAATATAAAAAGGTGAAAAGAATGTAAAGATGTTTCCTAGAATAAAGAATTCATGTTGCATAAAGACCATGTTTTGTTCTATGAAAGATACAATTTTGCAGTAGATAGCTAAAGAGATTCTTTCAGTAAAAGTTTTTCTAAATATCATATGTTTAAATGATATCACCTAAAAACAGAAGCAAATTTTCCTTTTTTATTGCAGCAGATGATTTGTTTATAGGTTTGTGTTTGAAACTTGTGACACTAACACAGAGTATTTTATGTACTGATAAGTACAACATTGTTGACAATCACTTTGTAGTAACAGTACTATTCATAGGTGTTTATCATGGAACTGTAGAAGTCTGTTTATGAAGAGCTTGTCTGTAAAGTATGTGCATCCAGCAGAGGTAATTTTCCTGGTATTGTAGTAAGATGGATGTTGTATAGGAGATATTCATATTCAAGTACTTGTATTCAAGCTTTTTCCCACCCCAGGATGTGCTGACACAAAGTGTTCATGCCCAGTACATGTCCTTAGTTCCTGCTAAACTTGTAGTTGATGTGAAGGTAGAGCATGAGGATTTCCTCATTCTGCGGCTGAACCACTGCATTTTCTTCACATCTAGTATTTAGTGCTTCCTCTGATGACACTGATTCTTCCAATAAACTTTCAACAGCTCTTGTGTTGTGAAGGTCACTCAAGTCTTGTGTTATTGTGTGTTGTTTGAACTGCTTCAGAGAAGCCTGTGCACCATGGAATGTGGGATGCACATTAGAGACAAACCTCAAGTACAAAAGGACCATTAACACAGTTTCCAGGATTTATTCCCTGGGAAAGGCAGCTGTGTATCCAGCAGAGGATCTGAAGTTGGCACCTTTTCAGAAATTATCCCCTTTAGGCAAAAGAAGAATAGCCCCTGACCATGTCACATAAATGCTTTAGAGATCTGTCCCAAATAAGATCTGCAGTAGGTGGGGTAACATCTGTCATGCTGTGCACTCATGTTAATTCTGAAGCTTCCCAACACAGTAGTGGCAGATGAGCTTTGTCAGAATATTGCTTTGCTATTACTGGTGCCAGGCTCAGAGACAAAAAGTGAGAAGTGTGACTGAAAAAAAAAAAAAATGAAGGGCTTCACCCCTAGGTTATTTGCCTTCTCATTCATTTATGGGAACAAAATTATACAGCCCGAGAGCAAACAATGCACGTTTTCCATACCACAGCTTGCATGTTTTGGTGAGGCGTATAGAGATAGACCTGCTTTCTTTACCCACTCATTATAAATAATTGTTGTGCTTTCTCACTCCTTGAGACAGACTAAGAGGGAGTCTGATGATGTGGATGTTAGCACTACTTTCCAGCTCCAACAGCAGCTACATCCAAACTGTCAGTCACAGTCAAGGAGCTGTCTTGACAAGCTGTTCTGAAAAAAAATTAACTGAGAAGTTGGTTCACAAGTAACAGTCATTCACAGTATTAAAGCAATATCTAGATATTAATTTTAGATCTTCCTCATTAAAGAGTTATACTATACACATTATGTAAGTTTAGCGAATTTCAGGTCCAACCCACTTGGTACCAGTAATGTGCAGAAGCAAAAGATTCCCATAGCAGTGTGATTCTTGCAAGTGGCTTGAGAAGAAAAGCAACCTTTAGGTCATGGTTAAGGGGATTAATGTGGTTGATTTTTACCTGAAATTCTGTCTCCTCAAGCATATGGAACTAGCCTATTCTTCAGGTTCTTCAGCTTCTCCATCATCTGAGGAATCTGGAGAGGATAATACCAGTGGTACCTTTTGGAGGTAGTTTAGCAATCACTAACACTGTGTGGGTGCAGCTTTTACTCTTAAATGTCTGTGTAGGTAAGTGCTCAAAGGAGAAGATTGTTTCTTGAACTAGTTCTTCTCTGGGATATACTGTCTGTATACGCATTCACAATCTTGAACCTTCTGAAGGATTCCTGGGATGCTGAGTGTCAGTATGAAGCATCCCCTTCCTTTCTGTATGGTCTGTGTGCAGCTCACTAACAGGGTTTTTGTCCTACTGATACTTCTGAGGCAGTGAACTAAGTTTCGTGTGTTTGTGGACATGTTCCATTGTAAAACAAAAATGTTCATTTGAGGAACATCACAAAGAATGGTTCCAGCTGTGGCTGTGCTACTGACCAACTTACATCTCTTACATGCACCACTGTTCTTCCTGTTTGATGTCTTCTCAACAGTGGGTGCTCCATCCTGAATAGGTTCCTCATGCCTGATGGATTTGCTTTGTTGCCTTGTGTATGACAGAGGATTTTCCTGGTATTTTATTGAGCAATGTCAAAGCCCAGGTGAACCAGAAGTAGTTGGGATTTTGGATCAGATTCCCAAATGCTCTTGATCTACCTCTCTTTGCATAGGTGTCATTGTTTAAAATTGCTACAGGTTGGTCTTGACAGAATGATGTTCTGTGCAAGCATTTGTTGGGCTGTATTTCATGTCACACAGAGAGACAGCTTCAGCTTTGCAACTGGGCATCTTGATTACGAGGATTCCTCCTGCTTGGAGCTGATGGTTAGGATGAGGAGGAATACGAACATGTTAACATCTCCCCTTGCAACAACAGACTGGTTCACTTATAGTTAAAGCAGAACTGCTTCTGGGAATTCCAAATCAGTGCTAACCAGGGAATAGGGATTTTGTTACTGTCTGGCACACCCTGCAGATCTTAAACAAAAGATGCATGCTGAGAATCCACCAAAGCAGAGACATGACAGCATAAGAATTCCTCTGAATTAATGGAAAATTCACAGCCATTGATCATCTCTTGACTGGTTTGTCTTGGGGATATCAGGGTGACTTGCTCTCGAGACCTGCCCTTGTCTTGCATCCAGGGAGTTTCCAGCTTGCTCTTGTGTTGGCTGGGTGTAGCACCATTTGCATCTTAATTCCTAGGCCTCCTGAGCTAATTTTAAAAAGTTACTTTGTTATGCTTTGAGTTTGGCTGATAGGTAGGCATATTAATTCATGTCAATGCAGGCTGGGACTGAAAAGATTCAAAATCAGAAGCAACTCATCCTTACCAAAACTAAAAGGTAGGTTTAGTCTCATGTCCACTACTGTGAACTTTACTTGTGTTGACATTCTCCCTGTTTATTCTGAGAGAGTTTCTTGGCTGTTGCAGTGTTTTTACTAGACAGCTGGCTTGTAGGAACGAGCAGCTTCAGTGACAGTTCAGCAGCTGCAGAATGACAGCAGAGCGTGCCCCTGGGACATAGAACTGGCTTATGACAAGGCCAGCGGCTGTCAAGCAAAACCTGCTGCGTGTTAGAACCATGTGCTCTGTGTTGCACAAGAGCTGAGAGCACAGGGGCCTCCACTGGAGCTCAGGCAGGAGTTCAATGACTCCCTGAGTGCTTGGAGCAGCCAGCAAGGCATCCTCACTGACTGGTCACTGGTGCAGGTGCACTGATTAGATGCACTGTATTCCTGCTTAAAGAATAAAGGGTAAATTCTTCCTTTTATTACTTCAAACACGTTTTGATCAGTCTGTACTTGTGTTGTTTTTTGCTTCATGCCTGTTTCATTAACATTTAGTAGGTTACCTCATGATTAATTAAGAAACATTCTGTGGGTAACTCATTAATAGGTGTCATTATAGGAGCTATACCTTCACTCCATGGGATCAGACAAGTTTGAAGGGTTATCTATTTTGGATATGGTTTAGAGACATTTTATTTTCACTTTTTAAAACATCAAGCTTTTTGAATTACTAACACTAATTGCAGGTAGTAATTTCAGGTTTGGAAAACACTTAGAGATAAACTTGATACGTTTTTCTTAAGCAAAAAAAAAAATCCCACACATTATTTGTACTTACCAAAGTACAAATACCCACGCTTATTGCAATGGGTATAGAAGTACAAGCTCTAGCATAGCAAATAAGAGCTGGTGATGGAAAAGGTGTAACAGTTGCCAGATTATGAAATGCAGAGGTACTCCCTGAAATGGGTTTTGCAATTACCACTAAGAACAAATGAACTCAATTCTCATTCACTGCATTTTATATCGATATGATAGGATGTGTTGTCTGCTTGGTTACTGGAAATTCTTGAGGTTGGCATGTCAAAACAAAGCTGTGAGACCATTGTGTGGGCTGAAAGGCTTTTTATTGCGCCTTCCAATGTCACCCAGTGCCCAGAGGAGGTGATGTGGCTGGTAGGGGAAACTGCTGTATTAGAGTACTAGAGCCTGGCTCTGGGGACCAGACAGCTTCACACGGTAGCTGAATCCAGCTAACATCCTGCCATGCCTAGAGACACCAAGCTCTTCCCTACCTTTTCTTCCTTCATCTGCACCAGCTTCTCTCCCTCCTCTGCCCTCTGTCCTATTTTTTTCCTCTGGGATTTACCTGATCACTGGATGGTGTGCATGTGCAGCTTGCTAACCCAGCAGAAGTTTGTTTGGTTTTTTTTACCCTCCTAGGCCTTTTTTTTTTTTTTGCCATTTTATCAACCTGTCTTACTGTATTGAGATGCCAGAATTGAATCCAGAAGAACAGGGGCAGAGTGTGGTTGAGGAGAAGAAGTGAAGAGAGCTTTTTCTGTTTGGCAGTGGTGAGCTCCTAACTTGGCACACTACCTCTTGAAACTGCTTAAACATAAATAACTGAAAAGCTTTCTTCAGGCTCTCTAAAACCTGAGCTGGAGCCTCCTAAGGGTTCCGGCACATAATGGTGTGTATGATTGGATGAGGAGACTTGGTGAGTCTAAACCAATGATTTTTCCATTTGCATCCCTCCTAGGTTGCTTCAGAGTGGCAGTGATCACTGAAAGACATTGCTCAGTCAACTTCATAATTGTGGAACAGCCTTTTTTTGGTCAATGTCTGGCTTGTTTCTCAACTGCAAGGAAGTCTTTCTGCACATGTTTCATCTGAGTCAGTTTCTTTAAGGCCTCTAGGAGTTTATGGCTGATTTTCCTTTGTGGTCCATACCTTGAGGGTTCCTTGTTGATTGATTTGCCAGGTATTGACTAAGAAATAGGGTGTGTATTTCAGAGTTTGGTCTGCTCAGGTCTGGCTAAGAGATGGCTGGCAGATGTTAAGTCTGTTTTCATATTCCAAAGCATCAAATGATTACTTCCCCTCAGTTTTCAGATACCATCCTCTTGTTGGTCCAGTGAGGTGAATGACAGCACACTGGCTCTTAGTACTAGAAGGTTGTTTTCCACCAATTTCTCTGCATGTATTGGAAGGCTGATAGAAGGAATCCTGTCAGTACTCTTGGAGCACTGGAGTAGCTGTCTCTTGTGGAGTGGTACCCTGGAGGATTTATGCTGTATCATTCTTTTGTACCTCACAGCAGCTGTTTGGCTGGATTTATTTTTGGACAGGAGGGATGTGTGTGAAGACAGTTTGAAGGAACCAAGTTAGTAATCAATCACATTTGTAACTCAGCTGGAAGCTCTCACATTGGGGAATGTGTTCACTGATTCTGTGATGAGAAAGAAAAGAGAGCAAAGCAGGGCAAGAATAATCCTGCCTGAGCTGGATGTCTTGTGTCTTTGGAAAGATACAGTCACCCCATCTGGAATGAGCAAGAAGGCTGCTTTGCCCTGGGAAATGATCAAGATCTTCCTTAAGGCTCTTTTTGTACAGGTGTTCATAAACCTTCTGGTAAAGTAAATGCAGTGTTTTAAGATCTGTTCAGGGTCTTGGGGATTTACCCTTCTCTTTTCCTCTGTCCACGCCAGTATCTTGATGATGACAGTCACATGTATTAATAAAATCACGGTGGAAACTCTCAAGCTGGAAGTCATAAGGATCATTGAGTCCAACTCCCTACTCCTACCTAAAACTAAACCACATGACTAAGAGCATTGTCTAGACACTCCTTAAATTCTGGCAGATTTGATTCTGTGACTACTTTACTGGGGAGCCTGTTCCAGTGACTGACCACCCTCTCAGTGAAGAACCTAATGTCCAATCGGAACTTGCCCTGATGCAGCTTTATTCCATGTCTTGTGTCCTATCTCTGGTCCCCAGGGAGAGGAGATCAGCAGCTCCCTCTCTGCTGCCCGTCTTGAGGAAGTTGTAGACCACTGTGAGGTCACTCCTCAGCCTTCTCTTCTCCAAGCTGAACAAGCCAAGTGACCTCATCTGCTCCTCATGAGTCTTGCCCTTGTCCTTTCACCACCTTAGTTGTTCTCCTTTGGACACACTCTAATGTGCTCCTCACAGGCTTCATTTTGTAATATTATATTTTAATGACTTGTCTGTTTTTATAACTAGGACATCAGAGATGGTAATCAGAGATCTTTTATGCCAAAATAGTAGCAAATTACTGCAGAACTGCCAACAGCACCCTTACTAGTATGAGGATGAGTGCATACATGTCAACATGCACACATAAATCCAGGCATCATCACATGTTACAGAAGAGTGATCACTGCGTTAGCAATCACGTCTGGTCGGGACATTAACAAACAGGAAAATGAACTCAACAGAGATTCAGTTGTTTATGGTGCTGTTAAAGGTCTGTTATCACCCTGATAGGTCTGGGGTTTGTCAATAGGAAGACTTGGGAGTCCCTACCTTTGAGGTTAGCATATGTTCTTGAGGTACTTTCTGTGTTTGTTTGGTTTTTTAAATTTTGAATTGTAACAATTTTAAAATAACATACATATTTCTCAAGGTCCGACAAGAATTAGTTGAAGAATATGAACAAGTTAAGAGCATTGTCAACACTTTAGAGAGTTTTAAAATGGACAGACCTCCAGATATCTCTGTATCCTGCCAAGATGAGCCTTTCAGAGATCCAGCTGTTTGGCCTCCTCCTGTTCCAGCTGAACACAGGTAAGGAGAGGCTCAAGCAGAGTGGGTGGAATAAAGGTGGGTCACCATAATTTTGTATTTGTTTTTGAATGCTTCTGTAACATGAAAATCACATTTAATTTGCACATTTATTACATTTAATTTAGTCACTTGTAATAAAGAGTAAATTTAATTCATTGAGAAAAAAAGTATTTAAACTACAGTCAGATTTATTTCTGACATTCTAAAGAGAGTCACTCCTTTATTCTGGTAGGAGTAACTAAGTGCTTGGAACTAGAGGCTGCTACAGAGGTAAGTGGGCTTTTGGTGATAGCTGATGTTCTCATGTGCAAGGAGAAAACTTTTCAGTTTAATTGAGCAAAAGAATTAATTGATGACTGAAAAATCTGCATGGAGCTGGAACTGAAGGATCTCAAAGGACTTGGTGGTTAGAAATCACTCCCTAGCTACAGATAGTTTAACCTGTGTTTAATCCATTGGTTAGTTTAATTGCTAAACATGTTCTGTTACACGTAGGATATCTCTTCTATAACCATATTTAAGGTAACTTCAGTTAGCTAATAGATTATTTAAAATAGATGCTTGTGCATTTTCTGAAATCCCTGTTTTCAACCCGCTGGTTAAAAACAGATTCAGTTTACAGACAAAAATAACATTTATCATGCCAATAACTTTTTAATATAGGAACACAGAATTTTAACATGTGTATATTCACAGAAGCAAAGGAGAAAAGTAAAATGAGAGATCTTGGTTAACGGAAAGAAATGCCAAGCTTGTTTATAACTTTCTGTGCTTTATGATTATCAAAAAGATTTCTGCTTTTCAAAAAAAAACAAAAACCTAAGAATATAAGTGTAAAATTATATTAATGCTGATTATTTTTGTGAGTGGTAGAAATAACTCAGATTTTCTGTTGTAATGTTATGTAAAGTTCAAGATGTATTTATTCTTGTATTCTCCTTAGTGGTAAAACCTAAATAGTTAACCTGCTTCTTTTAAGCTGAAATTTAAATCTTGTGCAAAAAAGTAAGGAAATTTAGGCACTGTTCTATGCTGTTAAGTTTAAAGAAAATGCATGAAAAGCAAAATGTTGCCATTGTATCCAGCAGTGTGTTTAAGAATGTCCTTAATTTAAAGCATATTCCAGGAAAATGTTTTTGGGGTTAATATATTTTGAGTTATAAAACAAGAATCAGTACAAGATTCAATAGGGGACACTTACTAAATTTGGGTGACATTCCTGGCTGTTTACTTTAGTTCTGTATTTCAAATTCAATCCCTAGAGAAAAATGACAATGACGCCTTGTCTTAAAACCAAATTCTTTCTCCTCCTTCTACTTCTGAGTACTCTTTGACATTGTGGGTGATGTACACAAATGTAGGTGATTGCAGTTTGGTCCTGTTTGCTTTTGCTTTCAAGGCAATTTTTATGTTTTGACGTTTTCACACAGGGGAATGAAGTCAGAGGTAGGTGGACTGTTTAAAATCCTCTCTGTTTTGTTTTGGGGCCTGTCAAAGATTTTAGCCACCTTTTTTTATGTGTCTATTTTTGAAATCTTTATTTTACCAGGAATGTCACCTGTTTGTGTAGAATTTGTGCATGTGAATGTAGCCTAATATAATCTCCTGGTTTGGAGTCAGAGGAATATTCGATTTGAAGACTTTTACTAAATTGTTTCCTTTTTTGTTACATGGGTTTTGGTTTATTGTAAGACTGATAGGGAGTACTGATCTGATAATGTTGATTTTTTCTTTTGCATTTTTTCTTCTTACTCTGGGTATCAGACAGAACCAGGAATGTGGTTTTGGATTTGAAGATATAGGGAAATAAGGCTTAGGGTCTTGGCAGCTTTAGTAATAATGTACTAAGGCAAATTAGAATTCTTCCTTCTTAATGTTGCTCTTTTTTTTCACTGTTTTTAGCATGTTTTTGTTGTGGTTGCTGTTGTTAGGGCTCCACCTCAGATAAAACGTCCCAACCGAGATGGAAAATCTTTGAAGAAAGACTCCCCTGGACTTCAGCCCCGCGGGCCTGCGGGCAGAGCACATGTGGTGTCCAAGGGGGAGAAATCTTCAGGCAGCCGTGAAAGGGAGTCCAGAGCCAGAGGAAGAGATGACAAGGTAAGAAGTGGGAAAGGACTTGGCAGGGGGGGTGTTGTGATGCAGCAGGTGGCAAAGGGAAGCACTCTTAGTCCTTTAATACAGATAATAAAAAGTCACGATAATCCCATGATCAAAGAATGTATCATGTTGATATTTATTAATAATTACAGCAAATTAAGAAAAGTTCTGTCATGTTTGCTCTGTTTTGGTGCAAGATTTTTTTGAGAAAGGGAAGCATAGCGTCCTGTTGCTGAGGGTTTCTTATCCTTTGAGTGAAGACCATGGGCTTGTCTCTAATCTCTAAGTGTCATTCAGGCATGAAGTCCCTTCTCCTCCTTTTCTTCCATGTTGATGGTTTTTGTTTTGGTTTATTTTTTTCTTTAAAGGAATCCAATACAGGGATTTTGTAAAGATATTAATACAAAAAGTCAGACCAGTGCCCTTCCCTAGACTTGAAGCATTATGAATGGAGTTTTACAGTACCATTGCCTCTGCCATACCATAGTATAATTCAGGAATGTCTAAGAGGTCAGAACAGTTCTATAAATGCATTGATGATAGGTAAATCTGTGCCAAATTATTTGAAGTTACATATTTGAAAATTATATGAGGGAGAAGTATTAAAACCAAGCTCCAAGCAACATTCATTTTCTCTGGTTTATGAAAGGGGTATTGTATTTATTATAGTGTTTAAAAATAAGCTTATTGGAACTCTTTTGTTTTAAAAGTAAAAGCAACAAATTAAACTAGACTAACTTGGAGATACTTTCTTCTGAAGATCCATGAAAAAGAGGCAGTGCTGAAGTGAGAGAAATGGAGAAACATTTATTCACTATAAAGTGGTGATGTCAAAAACAGGGCTATTTCATGGCTGTAAAAAATGTCAGTGTGCAAATTGCTGTTTCTGAGACACTTGTGTTTTTAAATTTAACTGTGGAGTTAGTGCCAGGAACCCAAGGACTCTGTGGTTTTGTTATCCAAATTGAGTCTGTACTGAAGTGGCATTACTTTCCTGACAGATAAAGATATAAGATATGCCCTCCTATGGGGGCACACAGTATTGTACAGATCTTGAGAGATGAATAAGAAAATATTTAGGCCAGTTTTCTTCCAAAATTTGGTAAGTTCCTTCGTGACCTTTCTATTGCACTTCTTGACAGCTTAGGAATAATTCAAATAAATGCTTTTTCCATCATAAATTGTTTTCTGATACACAGGAAAAGTCTTAAATTATACTAGCCCTTATGACTGTCAGAAGGTAGGACCAGGCACATTTTCAGCAGCACCACTGAATGACTGTACAGATCAAGCATTTTAGAAATCTCTCTACCCTGGATCAGTAAGATTTAAAATAACAAGTGTGCCTCCTGCAAGCTATAAAAATCTCGTGAAGATCTCTGAAATTATTGAAAGATTTGCCAGCTATATGTGGAATTGGAGTCATAGTGTGTGACAGGTTCACCAGATGTGCTTGTGTAAGGCAGCCTTCAAAGTCTTAGCTCTAATGAGGGTGAACTCTGCTCTCCAAGCTTTCCGGTGATGAGCATTATAGGGCTTTACTATAAGGAGCCTACAACAACATGACTTGTATAATACTTGTCTCTGGGAATAATGCGATTAACAGTACTACTGCTGTGAGGTGCAGGAAAAGTCATGAAGGTGTTCCATTTATTATGGTACATTTTAAACACTGCTCTTATCTGAATAAATTGGTCACTAGGTGGCAGAAGGAAAATATGTCTACTCCTCAAAAAATTCCAATACATGTGCTCTTGTATTCCCCTTTGTCTAGCTCCTGGGTGGTTATTCTCGTTCCTTTGTCTGGGGTATGTGACTGAAAGTCACCCCAGGTTACAAATCCTCATATGCTGTATAATGGTTCTTGTATGGGATCCATGATTTGCCTTTGAGAAAGATTTTGAATGAAAGAAGAAATAGACAGGTGTGGGAAGTGGAAGAAGTTAATGCAACTTCCTATATTTTGCACACAGACATGAAAATAGGCTTACCTTTCAGTTTTATCCTTTCTTAGTTTACAAGTGTTTGTTCTTCAGTTTCTGAGTTTGAACCATTAAGCAGCTTTGCTCTGTAGACTGCTATGTTGAATCAAAGAGATTTGGTAACTCATCAGATTCAGTTGAACATGATAATAATACAAAGAATAATAAAAATAATAGGGCAAACCTGAAGCTTTAAATTAAGTAACTAGGTACCTTTTTCCCTACTAAATATTTCAGCTTTGTAGTTTTTGGGTTTGGGTGCTAGAATTAGGACTACTTAGAACATGTAATGAACTATCCATTTCCTAAGACATTGACTGGAGTGTAGTAGGTTGCATGCTGTCCTGGCTATAATACCACAATGTAACACGTGTTTTTTCAAGGTAAATGTAAGTATAGTACATATATTTCATATATAGTACATATATCAGAAATGCTCTGCCTCACTTGAAGCAAATACCTTATTTCACTGTTTCTCCTCTCCAGACCATAACATCTTTTCATTCTGACAGTAACAATCTTGGGATAGGTAATTTTAACCTAAGTATGCCAATAACATTACATTTTTTAGTGCTATATAAAATAATTTTGAACTAAACCCACCAGATTGTGTCTGTCCACTAAATCCTTATGTTTCTAATTTTTTTCCTAAAATACTGTTTTCAAATTTTTTTGCTTTCTTAGTTCCACTGGAAATTATTAGGCTTGTTCTCAGGGTACCTTCTGCTGAAGCATTACCAAGAGTTTTAGCTTCTGTTCAATAGTTCAGTTTAAAGAGGCAGCATGAATGCTACCAGTATGTCTTTTAGAAATTCCATAATACCATCTCTAAGTAGTGGAACACTTTTTTAGGAGTACTCTTTAGATTATTTTAGACTGTCAGTGGATAAGGACAGTAAATATTATGAAGGATATGAAACAGCCAAGGTCTGCACAGCCATATCAGTGAAGTGAATATTAACATTAATGAAGTTATGACTTAATAAATTAAATTATTTTTGATTGATTATCCTCCTGTGCATCACCAACTGTGACATGAGATGAGATAGTTGCATTTAGGTGAAAGCACAAACCTCCATGCATTGGGACTGGAAGGCTGCATAATCTCCATCTGAAAACACTGAAAGAACTGTTGGGTGAAATTTTCACAGTAAAATTTACTTAATCTGATGCTGTCTCATGTAAATGGTATGTTAACATTAGGAGGGAGAGAAAAAAAAAGCAAGCAGGTAACTATGTTCAGCTTATGTTCCAAAAAGGAGACTTAGTTTGGTAAATGGAGGGAGAGCACAAGCCTGATGCAAGTGTATTAGTGTGGTGGACACACCGAGAACTGCTGAAACCATTGCAGAAACTTAGTACAAGAGTAGAAATAACATCATTTTTGGAAACAAGGCTTTTGTTCCAATGTGTTAGAGCAGGTCTAATAGCTCTTCCCGATGGAAAGGACAGCTGATTTCTAAATGTTTAATACAGATTTTGGGTACCTGAAATGATGAGATAGGATTGCCAAGGGTGGGAGTGACTGGAAAAATTATACTTACTCCTGCTGCCTAGTTTCAGGTGACATTTTAAAAAATCAAAAAATCATTATTTCTAGTTTATGCTCACTTTTCTGCTGACTGAGAATTGCAGGTTGGACCAGTTTCGGAGCAGCATTAACAATCTTATTACTTGTGAAAACTACAACTACTTTAAATCTTGGTTTAATTATGGAACTGGGGGGGTGGGGCTGGAAAGAAAAAAAAGAATAATTCAGTGTCACTACGATGACAGCCGAGGTGATGCTGAGAGCACGTGTGCCCGCTGGCCGCCCTTCTCCATCGTTCCGCTGGCGAGACGATGGTTCCCCGCAGGGGCAGGGAACCAGCGGTCCCAGGCACGGCACGTCCCGCAGGAGCGGGCCGGGATCGGGGCCGGGACCGGGGCCGGGACCGGGATCGGGGCCGTGCTGCCGCCCCGCGGCCGCGCCGGGGCTGCCGGCGCCCTCCCGGCCCCGGGCCTCCCTTCCCCCTTTGCATCTTGGATTTCCGCTCCGCTGGGCTGAGCTGCGCCGTCCGCCCGCCGGGCCCGGGGGCTCTCGGGCTGCCCGTGCCCCAGCGTGCTGCCGCCGGCCGCCCTCCCTTTTCCTGCTCTTCCAGTCTGCCTTAACTCGGCTGAACTCAGGAAACAAACAAAACCCAAGCGCCACAAGATAAACCAATTGTTCTGTGACGTGCAGAATTTTTTTTCTACTAGGAATGCCAGTTCATTGCAGAACGAGAGGAGTATATAACAGACAGCAAATACCTTTCATTTAATGTCATTTTTTTTTTTTTCTAATGGTTACATTTGGATTCCATTTTATCTCTCCTGAAATCTTGAAAACTCCACAGGGTGTCTTTTGCCGTTTCCTTTTTTACATCAGACCACTACATTTTTTACACCAGCTCTTTGCTTAAACACAACTCCGAGCTTCGTTTCCACTGCAAAAAGCTGAGTTAGGAGTACTAAACAACAAGATTTCGCTTGGAAACAAGAACTAAAAGCATTGGGAAGATAAACTACTCCCTCACAAGTTGTCGTGGGCAAACGGCAACTGGGAGGGGTGTAATCGCTACCTTTTTGTTTTTCCACTGCGAAGTTATTTGTGTGTCTCCAGCTGCCTCTCAACCCGCCTTCGTCTAGCGTGCTTTTGTCCAGCCAGCTGGGATTCTTTAACTTGCTGCTGATAGTGTTTAGAAGCTGAGTTAAGAGTCCTAAAGTAGCTCCCTACTCAGCCCCCTCCGTTAAACCAGCGCAGCTGCTTCTCAGGCACCCTGAATGGTGGGAGGGGAAGCGATTTCCTTCAGAACTGCGAGAGGCGGAGAGTGAGCCCTGATGCTTCGAAGGGAAAATGTTACTTCACCCCCATAAGCTGAAGGAGTTGTGGAAGTATTAACCAGAAGCTCTCGGCTATTTGGGGCAGAGGCGGAATGTGGCTTAGTGTGCTGCAAAAATTTTTGTAGTTTAAGAAGCCTGGATGTCTTTGGAGCTTCTTTAGGGCTTTTGGTGCAGCCCTTAAATAAATATGACCTTTGAAAAGCATTTTAATTGTTTATGAAGCTGGCCTGTGAATAGAGCCAAGATGTAGCTAGTTTGTAGTTGAGGAAAGCAGGTATTGCTGGGCAGGAAGGATTTAATGAAACAAAGAGAGAGAATCTTACTGGTTTTGTTCCACCAAAGACAATGCGTGTGACAGCTTCTCTGTTCCTTTTCGGTGATGATAGTGTCAGATGTTTACTTCTGACAGGTAGGGTGGCAACTGTAGCATCTTCAGTGTATGTTTTGAGTCCTCTGGTCTTCAGCTAGTCATGAGTCTAGTCTTCAGCCACTTTTGTGAGGCTGTTCCTGCATTCATGCCTTTGGTTGGCCAGGAAGTGTGTCAGTTATGTAATATTCCTATGAGCATGTATGATTTTCACTTCTAGGGAAAGAAAATACCCCAGGAATTTGGTGATGGGGAAATTCCAAAATTTGATGGAGCAGGTTACGACAAAGACCTGATCGAAGCTCTTGAAAGAGACATTGTGTCAAGGAATCCAAGCATTCATTGGTAAGAAGATTTTCTCAGTTCAAGTGTTTTTGCTGGTGTGAGAAAGGAGAGAAATTGCCCATCTTCAAATTCCTAAAACAGAGAGACAAGATAATCTACAGACAGGCAAAAATGAGATCTTTTGTTTTAACAGTTTATTAATTTGATTAAAGTTAAGCTTTTGTTGCTAATTGATATTATGTGCAGTACATTCATTACAGGTACTGCTGAAATGAACATATGCTCCAGAGATCTTTAAAGATGCTGCTTTGGTGTTCTCATTGTCCAAAACAATTATTAATTAAGCAGCTCTAGGTAACTTGAGTTGAAAATAATTTTTTCCCTGTCTTCCAAAAGTGGATTCAATTTTAGGTCACAGTATGATAGGAGTGCTCTCATGAGGCATATTCTTGCATACTATGATAAATGGTACTAAGTGAAAAGCTTTTCTATTTCTCTTGTATAAAAATAGAAGAAATACAGTTGTATGAGAATCTTATGCAAGTTTCTTCATCTTGCACAGGGATGACATAGCAGATTTGGAAGAAGCCAAGAAATTATTAAGAGAAGCTGTTGTTCTTCCAATGTGGATGCCTGACTTTTTCAAAGGGATCAGAAGACCTTGGAAGGTAAGAATTTATGTGGTGTTTTAGTAAATGGCAAGCTGTACCTATGTGAGTCTCCTACTGTAACGTGTGAATGCCTGTAGCAAAGGCTGAAAAGGTAAAGATCATGAATTTGTTTATGAAATCCTCTCATAATGATTCATGTAAAAGGCACTGAAAGAAACAGCTGGAAGTGTCCTGGCCCTTAGAGTAAACAGTATTTTCTGTTTATTTACTCACTTATAACTTGTTGATATTATAATACTTTCTATATGCCAACCTGTAGATGTAAGCAAACAGATTATATCAACTGAAGCAGAAATGCTTAACAGACAATCCTACACAGGCTTATAGTGTCCAGTTGTTATCACTTCCCATAAGAAAGCAATCCTTGGACTGTTTTTCTCAAAATGTTTCAACTACCTCTCACTCAGACTGCAAACTGCAGCGTGCATGGTACAAGGAAGCAAACAAAGAGGGGCCAGTCTGGTGACTCAGCTTTGCAGTCACATTTGCAGCTGGGCCTAGTTGCAGCTGGAGTGAGAAATTCAGAGTAGGAGAAGGAGTTGCAAGCAGGGCATCAGGAAGGATATAGGACTGAACTAGACTGATTGACCAGAAGTGGGGCCAATCTGGGCCTTGCTTAGAGCTAAGAAGGAAGAGGAGGGAGGAGTTTGGCAAGCATTTCTGTAAACAGTGTTATTTTGCTTCTGATGTGGAATGGATTGATGCTTGTTTGGGGAATACGTAGTCACAACACAAAGCCTTTTTGGTTACTGAGAAGCATAACTGGGGAAAAGAGACTGTTGCAAATTTTCTGTTATTCTGAGTGTGGAAGGAAGTAGCGTGTGTAGGGAATGCTGTGTACAAGGAGTAGTTTCCTGTTTAGTGTGCTGGTTTAGCAGCGTGGGTCAGATCTTGCTCTACTAACACTTGTTCTGCCTTTTCCTGATTAGTCCTTGTGCTTCCCTGGCTCTTATACTTAGGTCAGACCCAGCAGGAGCTGGGAGATTGCTGCTTGAGAGCTGCTCACAGAGGTTTTAGTGAGTTGCAGGGAGGGAGCCCAAACATACAGTCAGTGCCAGCCTAGCCCCAGGCTATCAGGCCTTTGGAGTTAGAGTGCTTATGGTCAGTACCACTGGCCTTGTGGTCAACCTTAGAGTTAACTGAGCTATCATCTTGGACAGAGCCTAGATGTTGTGAGTTACATGTGTAGTATATTTTAGTGTATTTTGAACAGCTGAATCTCTTTCTTCTGGGCTTAGAGGCAGTTGATCCATACTCTTGTTATAGACTATGGGGGCCCCATCTGTCTAATGTTCAAAATCTTCTAATGGAGTAAAGATCTGCTCTGCTTTTTTTTCACCTGTTGGCATGCACAGAGGATGTAGTGACCATCTGTCTTTAAGACAGGTATCTCAGCATACTGCAGGAAATGTGAAAAATGTCACTGACCTTGTCTCCAAGTGTTGTGGCAGTGGATAAAAGAACAACAGGTCCTTTAAAGAGTTACAGTCTCCATCTCTTTGCATGAGACTACCTTTTCCTACTGAGCAGTGTCACCTCTGAAAACCAGGTGGTTGTCGACATGGAAAAGATCCTAGGATTATTTCCTCTCTTCAGTCTGAAATGCAAATGGATTTCTGACAAGGCTATGAAGAGTCTTCATTGTTAGCCTTTTCCCTGGTGACTTGTGAAGCTGTAACTCTCATGAATTTATTTTTCACACAGAACAGCATGTATTTTCCCTACTGTTGACCTCTGACTGTGCTATAAGGATGAAAAGTATTGAAGGGAAGGCTATGTCTTGCAGTAATCAGTGTAGCAGCAGGCATTTGTTGAGCCTAGGAATTCAGGACAATAATTCAGGGAAAAAGGCAGCCGAAGCTGGTTTTGGATGCTCAGACTCCCCTGAGAACAATTCCCAAGACAGCCCTCACAGTTTGTGCTTGTATTCAGAGAACTGTGCCTTGTCTGAAGGAGCCAGCTGTCTTCCCTGATTCAACACAGGTGCTGTGTAGTTGCAGCCACCGGTTTCTGAGTGTCCATGGGTTTGCTCTTTCTGTTTCTCTGAAATGTTTTGTGCCAAGAAAGCCTGGTTGCTCACTGTGCTTCCCACTGCTCTGCTAGTGATTGTTACAACAACAAGAAGTAACCCTGCAGTGATTTCATCAAAACACTTACTCCCTGCGGTGCATTTCAGCTTCTTATTGGAATACTTTGGATTAACAGAGCCTTAGAGGAAGAATAAAGAAGTCTCTGTATTTGTCAAGGATTTTAAATAGTAAGTGGCAGCCTCCTAGTTTGCAGAAAGAGCAACTTGATCCTATGTGTTTCTGTTTGCAGCCATGCACGTCTTGTTTTGCTGCGAACTCAAGTTCTTTTTTTTTTTTTTTGTNTTTTTTTTTTTTTTTTTGTAACTGATATTTCTATTGTCTCTATCCCCAGAGAGCTTACTTTTTCCCTGGCTTTACACCTGGTGTGGCTGCTTTGCACCTGTGTTATGCACATATATAATGCCACCAGTATCACGTGCAGTGTAACGCTTCCTGTAATACTTAGCAGGAGGTGCAAAGTGATGGATGGGCTACAATTTTGGCAGGGTACAGCATGTGTACCTGAAGCCAGGATTTGTCCTTCCAGAATAATGGAAAATTGAACCAATATCCCAAAAATGTCATTACTTCCCTGTATCACCAGGTCATGTGGTAAACACAGTTTATCAAACGCATGCTTTGAATGCGATTTGAATTGAGGTGAAGCTTTTTAAAAAGATATTAAATGAACACATTTGAAGCTCAGAGAGAACAGTAAGTCATCTCTGACCTGCATATTACAGTCTGAGTAATTTTCACCCAGTCACTCCAGGGCTGTATGTGCAATATTGTTGTAATATCAGTATAACTGTGCAGCATCTCAAACCAGAATGTCTGAGTGTTCACAGGGAGAAAAGAGAGTCCATTTACTTTTTATGCTTGCTGCTCTAGAGCTTAGAAAACCTTGAGCAGCCTGAGGAGTGACTTTGGACTGTTAGCTGTAGAAATGGCATTTGAACATTTCTGATTTAATTTACCGATGAATGTATGTTGAGCTTGCATTAGCTAAGTATTAAATGGCAATAAAGGTATTAAGAGTTAATGGAAAATGGAATACAGAGCGGCTATTGCTTTTGAATGGGACATTTTTGAATAATTGCATTCCCGGTTGATTTGTTTTTATAGATCTCTTCCATGTCATTCTTTGTGCTTTTTGAAGTAAATTTTTGTGAGGAACAGATGAAATCTAATTTGCTATATGGCTTGCATTTAACAGATATTTTATTGCTGTGGCATTTTATGTAAGTTATTAATTGCAAAGCACATTATGATGTGCAATTCTAACACTAGCTAATTTGATTACCCTTGCAATACAGTACAATTTTAGGAAACTCTTGTTAGCATGTAATAAGATCTTGCAATTGGGAGGGGAAAAATAACCCCAAGCTGCTTGAGCACTACATTTTCTTTGATTTACTTAAAATCACAGGGCCCTATACTAACACTGTGCAGAACATGGAACAGTGTTTTGTCCTTGTCCAGTGCTGCTGCTGAAAGGGTCGGAAAGACTACCCATAAAGATGGCTGTATTTAGTAGTATTATCAAGAGTGATTAACCCATCTCAGTGATAGGAGCTTAACATGGGTGCTGAGAGCATTGTGTAATCATGAGTAAATATGCTGAGCTGCATACATGTGTGCTTCTTTCTTTCAGAGACCACAGATGGAAAGATAGTCTGAATGACGTGGATATAAGATTTGTTTCTAGTTTAAAACTTTCTGAATAATCACTGAAGTTCAGATTAGGCTTCTGTGGGACTAAGCAGTAGTCCACATTAGCCACATGAGTTTCTTATCTGTAAAATAATACAGTCCAGTCATCCAACATGATGAGGATGATATTTCATCCAGGAATTGTTATGATGCAGTAGTGTGGTCATAGGAACATTGAGATTGAGAGATTAAGCAAAAAACAGACTGATGTATTCAGTGAATGCTCTCATGCAAATGTAAACATCAACCAGAGTCATACATATTTTCAGGATATTTTGGGAAAGTGTTTTTCTGTAGAAAATTTCTCTACTGAGGAAACACAACGTACTGTGAAAGTATTTTGGTTTCTGTGAGACTTTCTCGTGAAGGGGCCTTTGTTCCAAAAAAAGAATTTAACCATATTCATCTGCCTGTGCAGCCCATTGTGAGCTGGGAAAGACCTAAGTTCAAGTTTAGACTCTGTTTGATTCTGAGCAAGGCTGTAAATCTCTTGTCCATTTCCTAGGTACAAGCAACAGGTACTGGCTTTTGTGGTTCTGACTCCAGTGGAGTTGTGAGAAGAAATGGCAGAACACTTCCACACTGTCCTCGAAAGCAGGATACTTATCTTCTGTTTTCCACTGATGATGGTTATGTTATTAATTTAAATCCAGATCTTGGCTTATATTGAGATGTTGTGTAGAGTACCAATGGCAAAGTTTTCTTAATTTGTTGTTCATTACCTTTGTTCTCACCTTCCAGGGTGTGCTGATGGTTGGTCCTCCTGGCACTGGCAAAACAATGCTAGCAAAAGCTGTTGCTACAGAATGTGGGACAACATTCTTCAACGTGTCTTCCTCTACACTGACGTCTAAATACAGAGGCGAGTCTGAGAAGCTGGTCCGCCTCTTGTTTGAAATGGTATGTCCTCGATGATGTGGTCTAGGGCTCATTAAGGTGAGAAAGGGCAGTTTTCTTGGTTTCCTGCCCTTTCAGTGGCATGCTGGAAGCGTGGAGTTCATTGAACTGACACCCCCTCAACCAATTAGAAAAACGTAATTTCTAGGTTTCCACATATGGTATGTTATTAAGGATTAAGAAGGAAATGGTTAATCACCCATGTTTAGGATAGCATTTCCCAGACTAAATAGAGAGTCATGACCTCAACAGAAAGTCAGTTATTTGATTATGGGGTAACAATCCCATATGAAGTAGATTTGAAATTGGAAGGGGTTTGGAACAGTTATTCTAGAAGCTGTACATGTTTTAGTTCTGAATGATGGTCACAAGCCTCTCAGTAAAGCTGTGAGTGCAGTCCATTATGCAGGGTGTGTGAAGGACATATCCATGTGGGCTATACCTCTGAGACCCTCACTGTGCTCCTGCAACATTCACAGCTAAAACCTGAGTCTCTTGAGATTGCTGAGCTCCCTTCTGTCCTTTATGCTTAACCTTCACCAGCCCAAAATCCGGACATGAAAATTGCCTCTATTGTGTCAAGAAGACTATCCTATTGTGTTAGTGTTTCTTTTCCCCTTTTCAAAGTCATTTGCTAGGGAAAGCAAACCAACACTGATCCAAGGAGCATAATTTAAAGTGTAGAAACCTCAGCATGTGGCAGTTTGTAAATCAAGGTCTTGAATTCCTTCCTTGTGACAGTCAGGGAAGATATGTGTGCAGTATGTCCAACAGGGCTGGGTTGTGGTCTGATGAGGGCCTGTGCTTGCTGAACAGCCTTAATAGTGATGTTTTCATTTGAATAAAGGCACGGTTTTATGCACCAACAACAATCTTCATTGACGAGATAGATTCCATCTGCAGCCGCAGAGGCACATCTGACGAACACGAGGCCAGTCGCAGAGTCAAGTCAGAGCTGCTTGTGCAAATGGATGGTAACAAGGGCTTAGATCTGGCTTTGGGGCTGGGATGCTGTTTCTTTACAGGTGGGAATGTATGAACTTGACCCATCTGGAAAACCTGGCTCTATGCATAAGAGAAAAATGAGGCACAACTTGAGATGAGTGTAGTTTTGGAGTATTCAACAACAGATAACTGAAAAGGGTCTTCTGCTTTATTTTTTCTAAAACGGCTATTTTTAGGATGACTTGAAAGCTCATGTTAAAGAGACACAGACTCCTCAAGAAGCAGATAATGGAGATTTGTGCAGTTTAATGCAGGTATTCAATTTGTATTCAGTTTAAACAAAATTCTGCCCTTTGCTAGACTCTCCAGCTGTGGAACCCCATTGTGAGATCTGCTTTTGCTGTATTCTATGATGGCAGCTAATATTACCCTTTTAAATCAGATGTAGTACCTGTTTTGTGCAGCTGCACAAAACAAGCATGACCATCTGAGGAATATTGTATGGTGTAGAGGTTTGATAGCAGCCTTTATATTGCAGCTATCATAAACTGCTGTATAAACTACTGTATAAAAACTATTATTTTAAATGTTCTCAAATTTGCAGGTTCATTGTGGTAAGCTCAGGATAGGGAAGCTTTTGATCTCTTTGCAGTCCTCACGTGCTAAGCTGAGTGACTCCTATTTCTTCTATGACCAGACTCGAAAGGGATAGTACTGTCAGTGGGACTAGCAGGGCTACACTCACATATATCTGTGTTATTAGCACTGTCCAAGAAAGCCTTCCCCTTACTCAGCAAAATAATGAACTGTCCCCCTCTCTGTGATAATAATGGTCTTGTGACACCTACCTATGAGAAGTTTGGAAAGGGACACAGGACCATAGAGAGCTGTTGCTTAGCTTTGTCCAGGCTGTGTTTGTCTGTGCAGTGTTTCTCAGCAAGCATCTCCATCAATAAAGGCTCTGGAATAAAATTGCTCTGAACTGTTGTGCTTGCAGGGGTAGGTGGTGCTCTGGAAAATGATGACCCTTCCAAGATGGTTATGGTATTATCTGCTACAAATTTTCCCTGGGATATTGACGAAGCTCTCCGACGGAGACTGGAGAAGAGGATTTATATACCTTTGCCCACAGGTGTGTTTGATAAGACCATTTTCCTTTCCTCTCTTTACAAGATGACTTTAGAATAACTGCAGGACTGTTGCGCTTGTAAGGAATCCTGATTGTTTTGTGTAATTCAGGGGTTAATCATTTGTCTGGATTGCTTTATTTTTAAAGAGAGTGAAAAAAAGAGAAATGCTGCTTTGCTTGGGGGCTGAAAAACAAAGAGTTGTGGCATTTCATTGCAAACCATTGATGGGTTCTTATATTTTGAAAGAGAGTTAGTTTTAATGAGTCTGGAATTATTTTAAATGTTTAACAGTCAGTCCTTGAGTGATCATCAAAGGCAGCCTTTGGACATGTTCACAAATATTGCAAATGCACTCCATGCCCTTGCAGACAAATGGAAAGAAGTAGATCCATGAATTTTCACTTACAGGCTTAGTTCATTGCAAATCACTGCTTGCTTGCCTTTATTACTGTGCTTCCAGTCACTCAGAATGCAGCAGGCTGATTGCTTTCCTGCCCTAAGACATCTCAGCTTGTATTGTCTTTCCTAGCTGTCATTCACCTGTCCTATTAATTTTGAGGTTCCTATCACTTGAAGTTTGCATAGCTCTGTTTCTTCTTGGTACAGTGGATGCCTCATCTCCCTGCATGAGCACTCAAGATAACAAGATGCATGTCCATGGTGACAGTGGTTGTGATTGAGTTTAGCAGGTCTAAGGATACTTAACAGTTCTACAGCTTGTCTTTGCAGCATACAGGCAGTAAGAGTGCCTAACAGGATGCCTGTCTTTATGACCAATTAGTTTAAAATCCTATCAGCTCTTCCTCTTGTTTCTAATTAAACCAGATTGTTTTTTAACACAGTGTATTACACCCTGGACAACATAGGAGATGTGATTTTATTTCCAGTCTTAGTTTGTGTTGTATCTATTCTGCAAGTAAGAATGTTGTGCTACTCTGGGCAAGTCTGAGTGATGCATTTATAACTGTGCTGTGTGATTTGATACAGTCAGGCATTTTAACAGAAAAAGTGGTATGGTAGCATATATGCACCTGTATATTGTGGAATTTGATGCAAGCATATATTTTTTAGTGTTAAATTTTCAAAATGCTGCACAGACTTGCTTAGCCTCACAGCAACAATTAGAAAAATGTTCTCTGATGCAGGATACTCTCTGCAGGTATGCTTGTGTGGACATTGTGCCCTCTAAATAATAAATCCCCATTTTATAGCTAGTGCCAGTTGTGTGATGGATAACTCTGTGCTTTTGACAGTTCTGCAAAGCACACAAAACCAGCAGCTCTAGAGAAGCTTTCTATTTTCTTTTGTATTTTTTCTTTCCCAAAAGTGAAAATAAGAATTAGGGACATCAGTGAATAAAGCATGATGTAGTTTATTGGACATTTCTTTAAGACTTTTAGCCTTTCCTACAGCTACTTCTGTTGCAATTGTCCTTTTGTATAGGTCATAAAAATTGATCACATGGCAAATAAAGATGCTGAGCTGGCGTATTTTTCCTGTACAGTGAAAGCCAGGAAACCAGTCATCCTCTTCTTTCCTACCGTTGTGCAGAGTAACACGGAGGCCTAAGCTGTCAAATGGGAATTCCCTCTTACAAGCTTAGGCTGCTTAACATGTGTACCCAAATGCACATATGCACATGCCCTCTGCAAGAGAAATGGTTAATTGACTGCATGAGTGCTCATTGACACAGCTGGTTATCACTGTGTGCACACTGCATCTCGGTAGGAAAGTGGGATACCAGGATGTTGCTATTGAAAATATATTAATACAAGTTTATTGTATTAATGTGCCTGTTTTCTATCAGGCTTCAGCTGATTTCTTCGGTCCCAACTGAATAAACTGCTTGAACATATGCTTAGAGTTCAGCTTGTTGTTAAGGGGTTTGTGCTGTCAGAAGCTCTCTTAATGGAATCCTTATTGTAGTTATAATGAAACTCTATGAATAATATGCAGTCAAAGCCTTGAATAGGGAGTGGATCCAAAGGGATGTGAGAAGAAACAGAAATTTGTAGGATTGTGCTTTTGTGCCCTTGGGTAATATGTGACCAAATGCTTTATCACCTGAGACATAACAGACATTTTTAGTGACAGATCACTCTGACAAATATCTCTCGACCATGCTGTTTTAATATACTGCATTTAACCAAACACTTTACTGTATTTGATTGCACACTGACTTGTTACCTTTCTTTTCTTATATTGAACTCTTTTGTTCATACTTTTCACTGAAAAATTTAAGTTGTGTTTATATATTTTTTAATGTAACTCTTGCCAGTCTTCAAACAAATATATTTACGTTCTAGCAAAAGGCAGAGCAGAACTACTGAAGATTAACCTTCGGGAAGTAGAACTAGATCCTGATATCAGCCTTGAAGAAATTGCTGAGAAGATTGAAGGTTATTCTGGTGCTGACATCACTAATGTTTGCAGGTATCTCATTGCCCTTAATTTGCAAATAGAAGTGCCTGGGAAGTCATAATTTGCATTATATGATAAAAGGCAATACCCACTACAGCTGAAGCCATGCTCACAGTTGTGTTTGAGGCCCAAATCTATTTACTGTATTCATGTATTACTGTCATGTGGAGTGGTCCAAATATCATGGAGTCTTTCTGTGAGATGTGGTTTTCTTGGATCTGAAGTGAAAATAAGTTATCTAAGCAAATCTCACATTACAGTTGGCTGCATTTACTGTAGTTGTCTGCATTTGTTAATGTAGTGCAAAGCAGATTGTTGAGGGTTTTTTTAAATCCCATTAGTTTAAGAGCTAGAATTCCATGATCCAAAAAATTCCTTTCACAGAACACTTCTTTGGGACTTCTATATGCTGCATGTTTGGACAGCCCCCAGTGCAGCTGAGTCTTGGTGTCTACCTGAATCTTCTAGGGGCAAGGGAGATATAGATGATAATATTAGTATTTAACTTATTTCCATCCTGTTTCCACAATTTGTTGCATTTTTGACACATCAGTCTTTTCTGGTGAAGGATAGGTATTTGAAGAAACTTATCTGAACGAAGTCTATGTCCCTTAAGAATCCTGTCAAGAGAAACTGATCCTGTAAGAATATGGTTTGGGAATCTTTTTTCTGTTCCCCCTGCTGCCTTTCTGAAAATGTGAAATCACTCCATGGATATGAAAACTCAGTGTGTGTCACGTAGTAGTGAAATTACCTTTCTCCCTAAGGCTTGTGTTATTCCTTGCTGGGAAAAACCTGGGGGAAAAGAAAATGTAATTTCAGACTGCCTGTGGGCCATGGTGTGAGAAAATGAGCAGTGTTCTTCAAGCCTGTGGACCAGGCTGGCAGGATCTGAGCTGGGGAGGAGTCACAGAGCAGGCAGGGCATGAGGAGCCACAAGCACCGATGGCCTCAGCACTGCAGGGCCACATGATGCTGTGTCTGATGCCTCCTGCTCTGCCCTTCACACATCCAGGTGCTATGGACAAGCAGGCAGCCAAGCTGGGCTGCACTCTTAACCCTTGCTGACTGTCCTTTGGAGCTATGCTGAAGGGAGAAAGTTAAAGTCTAAAAGGAATGTGGTGTAAAAATCCAGATTACTTAAAAAAAAAAAAAAAGTCTTTGAGTTTGTCTCCCACCCTGCCTTTTTCTGCTTTAAAATTGTAAAATTTCATCTCCATTAATCATTGTAAAAGGTTTTCAGTTTTATAGTTTTAATTATCTCTGCACATTTACCATATGCTTAAATGGATTTTGGTGCCAGTGCATTCTTTATGTTGAATTAATGTAATGATCTGGGAACATAGAAGCTACAAAAGATGTGAACTGCATCTTCTATGGTAAATAAATGCTGTCTTAAGTGTTCCTGCCAGTGGTTTCTAGCATTAGTATACAATCAAAATTCATAAGCTTACAGCACATTCTGCTAGCAATTAGCTCCCATGCATTGTCCTGTATTTCCAGGGATGCATCTTTAATGGCAATGAGAAGACGTATTAATGGCTTAACTCCAGAAGAGATTCGTGCACTTTCTAAAGAAGAGCTTCAGATGCCGGTTACCAAGGGGGACTTTGAGCTGGCTCTGAAGAAAATCTCCAAATCTGTTTCTGCTGCAGACCTGGAGAAGTATGAAAAATGGATGGCAGAATTTGGATCTGCTTAATCTCAGTGACAGCTTTCCTTTGCTAGAGTTTTATGGTTTTTGTTGTTCTCACTTTCAAAATGAGTTAGAAATCTTTTTAAAAGTTTAATAAAAGGTCTGCCTCTGCCCTCATCCCACCCCTTTCTGGTGACAGGATCTTTTAAGCTATTTGTCTTTAAAGGGAATGAACACAATAATGAGCTAATATTGTAAAATATATTTTATCTCTGAAGTAGAAAAATAAGACAAACAGGAAGGGAAAAATCATACTTCTGAGGGCAGTCTTTTTATTTTTCAAATGAAGAGCAGTGTTACTTAACTTCCTCCTAGTCATTTTTTATGGCTGGAGTCAATAAATCAGCTGGGGGATGTGACTCCAAAGGAACAGACAAGGGCTTGCTGTACCCCTCCTGCTCTTAAGTGCTGCTTCTGCCTCCCTTGAATGTGGCATCCAAGTTATTATTCTTTCTCTCTATGCTCGGATATTCAGAGCAAAGCCTGTGGATTAATTGGCATTACAGAGGAAATGAGGACCAGTTTTCCATCAAGACATGGACCTGACTCTCCTCTCATGTACTCCCATTTGGAATTGATGTCACTTCAGACTGTTATCAGTGTTACCTGCAATGACTTCTGATGGGAATGAGAGGGAAAGAAAAAGGCATGGATTGTTCTCAGTCCGGTTTATGCTTGTTCTCTGAACATAGTTCAAGCCTGTTTGACCAGTAGGCACTTTGACTTAGGTTATAACTTGCACTTTTATGCTTATGTATCATCTGTGCTTTGTTTGTGCTATCTAAATGTAATTGTTACTAGTATTAATATTAATATTTTAGTACTAAGAGTTTAATAAAGACACTAATATCAAGGTTGTGTTTAAAACACAATGCTGTCCTTAAAACAAATGGCTGTGAACTTCCACTTTTGATTGGATATGAACTTTTTCCTAGCATTAGTAGGCAATGGGACTTTTACCTTTTTGTGTTGTAGAACTGTTCATACTTATTCTTTCTTTTTTGTGTGTGTGAAGATTTCTTAAAAATGTATAAATATTACTGGTTTAGTAATATTTAGAAAATAATCTGTATGATCTCATTTATGTTCTTAACTGTTTCTTCCCTTCCCTCATACAAGTGCAGGGATGAGAAGGGTTCTAAAGTCTAACATGAGAAATCCTCTCTAGAGTATACCTGTCACATTGACTGTGTGAGCTTTTCACAGACTCAGCCTGCAAGTCTGGCATATGAAGTTTTCCTGTGGAAGGAATGGGAAGGACTGGTCAAACAGCCAGATTTACAGAGATATATGCAAGCTGTCAGGTTTTTGGTGATGTTGTGAGCTAGGCCTTAAGTATCTTGGTGGATGTGAATTGCCCTGCAGCTTGGTAGGTATCCCACCCTTCAGCTCTCTGTGGAGACTCCTAGTGGCACAGACAGATGTGATGGAGTAAAGAAATACACAGCACCTCTTATTGAATGGGAATATATCCTTATTTGCTGCTTTTTGTTAGTCCTCGGAAATTCCCAATAATGTCAGTAATTCAGCACACTGGTCTCTTGGGCCATGACATGTTAACCACTAAGGCAAAACACCTTAAATCAGATACTTCGTTTGCTCAGGGAAGTGATAAAATCACCATCCCTGGAAGTGTTTAAAAAATGTGTAGATGTGGCACTTGGGGACATGTGAACATTTTGACATGTCAGTGCTGGGTTAATGGTCAGATTTGATGATCTGAGAGGTCTTTTCCAACCTTAATGATTCTATAATTCTTCCCAGGGAATAACTGGACCTTTATAGACAGAAAGCTCTGAAAATATTGCTGTGGACTGCCTTTTTTGTGTTATGAAGCTATAGGTGGCCAGTTGTTCTTTGTTTGTTTGTTTGACTGCAGTAGAAATTAGTAAAGCTACACAAATCTTTTGTGGCCAATATTAGATTAACACTAGGGGGTCTCTCACTAAATAGGCCATTGCTGCCCAAGGAGCTTAATCTACAAAACCAAGTTGTAGAAGGGAGTTGACATAAATGCCAGTAACAACCCTACGCAGCTGCCCAGTAACAGTGCTGGGATTCAGCAGTTGCTGCTTAGTAGGGTCTAAGTTCCAGCTTGCTCAGTTTCACATTGCAAGCAGCAGTGACCTTCCTACTGATGAAAGCACAGCACTTGCTATGAAAATGTCAGTCCTTTGCTCTTTGATGGACCTTCTACCTTAAGGCATTAAACTTCCCTCTTGGCTGTTAAGCAAAATACACTGTACTGGATATTCCCTTTAGCAGGAATTATTCAGGTGCTGCAGTCTTTTTCTCTAAAGGTCATGGTTTCTACCCCAGAAATGTTTTCATTGTACAGGTCCATTCATCATTTACAGCTTCAGAACAGAAAAGTGGAAGTTTTCAGGCAGTAGATGTAACATGATGGTTGTGCCCCAGAATTACTGACGTGACTTGGGCCCTGCTAGATCAGGCACCCCAGGAGACCGAGATCATCTCTTCCCTGCTGAGATCTTTCAGGAAAGGGAGCTGTCCTTGTGTGCTGACCCTTTCACCTTTACCAAGTCATACTGGCACACCCATCTAGGTGGACTTGGAGACTGGGTTATTTACTCCAGGGGAGCCAGCAGTGGATGCAGCAAGGAGCAGCCCAGGAAGGAAGGGCAGCCATCAGTGGCAGCCCCTCAAGGCCCAAAGGATGAGCTTATTGCTCAAAGTGAGAGTAGTTCATGTCCCAGTGCTGGAAACCCTTGTGTAAGGATCCTAGATTCCTTGGAAAGCAATGTACAAGCATGGCACAGCCATGTGTCACAGCAACACTGTTCAAGCTATGCCTGTTTGTGTATGGAGATCATCCACACATGTGGGGGTATGCACAATAGGTGGTGCTTCAGTAGTTATACATAGATTACATAAGAAACATGTTTTAGAGCTGTGTTTATGTGTTTTCTAAACATCTGTGAAGGCCTTGCTGGGTGGCACTGTTAATTTTTGTACAGTTCACGATCTGGTTGTATGGAGTAATAAATGTGTGCTAGAGTCTGTCCGTCTCTCTCGAGTGGGGCTGGGAGTGCTTTGCTGCTAACTTCTTCCAAAGCTGCCATACAATGTTGATCTCTTCAGTTTGTCGTGGTGCCCTTTCACCAAAGCCCTGGATGGAGAGCAGTTAAAATCTGGGGTTTTTGGATAAAACTGTCAGCAATGCTTTCTCTCTAAATTGGCCTTTTGTTGCCACAAGCTATAAAATGGAGAATACTTCAATGCCCAGCACATGGAAGGGAGGGTAGGAGAGAACAGAGGCCCCAGCAGATGTTCAGTGTTAGCACCTGATTCAGACCTCACAGAGCCAGGCAGTCGTTTTTATTACTTGCCCCTGGGCTGGAAGTATAATCAGGCTCCAAAGAAGCTGCCTGCTAACCAGGAGACTTTCAAGAGCAAAACTTCTATTAGGAAGGAGCTTTCAAACTTGGAAAGAGACCCTGTGTCTCCTGGGACTGAGTTGATTATTTGAATTTTCTCCCTTCCTCATGAAAGAATGGAGTTTCCAGTGTTTCATAATACTTCAAACATGAAAGAGCGAGCAAGGGAAATGCTGATCAGGGGATTTCAGGAGAGGTCAAGTCTTTGCATAGGAAGTTCAACTCACCCCAGTTTAAAAGTGACTGAAATAGCAAAGGTGCACTGACTTGTTCTGATCATGGGAAAGATGAAAGAGCTTGTGTGCTTTAAAAGAAATCCTCCATCAAATGACCAAAGACTTCATGGTCCAATCCAGGCATGAGGAGGTAGAATCAGATGAAGAAATTGTGATTTTTTTTTTTAATCTGTTATTGGAATAAGCCACCCTCAATCAGATTGTGAATTGAGATGTTTTTTCAGAGCTGTAGTGACAGATAAGTGCGTGATGAACACGCAGGTGACATCGTGCTGCCAGGGAGCAGGCAGGGAGCTGCACACTGGTGTAAAGTGGGTGTCAGCACCATGGCAGCAGCTGAGCCCCCTCTGTGTGAGCTGTCCACAAAGCAGCTCTGTGGTGCAGAGTGGAGCCAAGATGGACAAGAGTAGGCTCAGTAGTGCTCTGGAATAAAGCAGACTGCTGGTGATAGCAAAGGCAAGGCGCTGGTGCAGTTCAGAGAATGTCTCACACGGCCATTTCCCTGCGCACGATAAGGGTTTCACTGCAGTGCTGTGCCAAAGCTTGGCCATCGCTGTGGATGCCTCAATCCCCTGTGTTCAGGGCCCAGCTGCCACACACAGCACAGCTAACAGAGTTGCACAGGAAGTGGTGTTCCTGCATCCCACAGCACAGGAACATTTGACCCTCTCTGCCTTCTGGTCCTCCCTAGCTTTGTGTGCTGGTTGTGACCCTTTCTTGTGACCCACTTAGTGCATACATGGTGGTTCAGTACCTCTAACAGAGGTGCAGTACAGAGCTGTCTTTTGATCAGCTAAGGTGCCATGATTCTACACGTCTGCATGTAAGTGTCTTGGAAATATTCAGGCAATCTTCCTCTTCTTCAGAAGGCCCCAGCTAGCATTAAAAGCAGATGGGATGAAATATCTTGGCTAGCCTAGTTGCCCAATGCAAGAAAACTTACCTCAGCAGCCACAGAGGTGCCACAAGGAAAGTTCTGGCTTTGTTATGAAGTGGCAAAATGTGGGGATGTTCCCAATCCTACTGCACAGGCAGAGTTAGGGTTTTATCATGTCCAAGCCCTGTTTCCTGGCTTTTGTGTATTTGTGATTTCTTTGCTGCAGTAGGAGCATTTTTTTCAGAGTTAGGGGGAAGCTATGGGGTATTTGTTCAGTGTCTGGGTTAGGATTTTGCAGATCCCATGATCTGGTTGGTACATGAAGCAACTGAACTTGTTCCCAGGATGCTTACTTTTGGAGAAACTCATCATGCATCCTGCCTAACTGGCTGTACACTAAGTAGCTTTGTGCAAACTCACTTAAATATAATATTTAAAATATTTGTTTGACAAAGAGGAATTTTTACTGCCAGATTGCAATTGTATTGCTCTCATTTGTAAGCAGCCCCTTGCATATGTTGTTTAACTGAGGTAAAAGAAAATGTCTTGGAATTAAGATTTTTTTTTTAACTTGACTTTGGAGAGCAAGAAAGGTAGAAAAATATTTGCGTAAAGGAAGATACAAGGGTACTCAAGACATAGAGATCTGCAATTTCTTCTTTTTGTGGCTTTCCTTTTTGTTGCACTGCTGGGCTGTGCTTTCTGTTTCCAATTTGTTTTGAAATAATTACCATTGTTTTTCCATCACTCAGACAGCCTTGGCAGATGATTTGGTTCCACAGAGCCCTCTTTTGCTTGCTTGGTGGTGTTCTGGCACAGTGTGCTGTGTGACATCTGACTGAACAGGCTGATGGCATGAGATCTTCCTTGTGAAGAAAAGGTCACCCAAATGGTGAAGGTGAGAAGAACTTCACAGAATACCAATTGGGCTGGCAGGAACAGAAACCATAGCAACTCTGCACAGGGTTTATAAATACAACCAAGAGGAAAAGGGAAATACCCTCAAGGAGATGCTGACAACACCACAATACGCATATTGATAAAAGTGTGGGTCTTTGCGTGTTCACCAGTGAGCAGAACCTACGTAAGAGGGTGGAAGTGGTTCAAAGGAAAGCAATTCCAGGCACTGCCAACAGCTTTCATCACCCAGCCTTGCTGCTTTAAAACATGACAATGTCCAGGGGCCAATTTGTTACTGCTGCTACAAAAGCTGCCTTTTAGGTAATCAAATTGGACTTTCCAAAATCTTGCTGCCTGTCTTGAAATGTCTTCAAACTTTGGCATGTGGTGGGACTGGAGCTGTGCTTGGAGGGCTAGAAGAATAAGGCAATGTTAATAGTGGTGGATTTCTGTAGGGTCCTGGGGCTTTGTTGTGTTGGGTAAAATTTGGGTGTGCAAGAAGAGATGCTTCAAATGCTTATGGGGAGTTGAGATGGTAGAAGGATGGGAGGGAGGTGGAAGGTCCTGGGATCAGTGGAGGAGATAAAACTGTCCCTCTGATTCCAAGTTCCCAGCCCTGAAGCAGATGGTGATATTTTTCAATTGTTTTTGATTT